CCCTGACAGGAGGATGGAGCAAGGTGGAGGTCTGGTCTTTTCTCACATAACAAGCGACAGGACAAGAGGAAATGGCCTCAAGTTGTGCCAGAGGAGTTTTGGGTTGGATATTAGGGAAATTTCCCTCATGGAAAGGATCGTCCAGCCCTGGCACAGGCTGCCCAGAGCAGTGGTGGAGTCACCATCCCTGGAGGGATTTAAAAGCCATGTAGATGTGGCACTTGGGGACGTGGGTTAGCGGCGGCCTTGGCAGTGCTGGGGGAATGGCTGGGCTCAATGATCTTGGAGAGCTTTTCCCACCTAAATGATTCCATGATACTATGATTCTTTGGATGAACTGGATGGGAACTTAGTTACTGCCCTGGTGGGCTCTCACTAGCATGGGGTAAGTGCAGTTCTGCCACGCACCAACACCCCTGGATCCACAGGTTCCCCTCAGATCCAGTGTGCTGCCTGCACTCCCTCTGCTTTTTACCTCTCATGCACATCCAGAGTCAAAGGTGAGTGTTTAATTTCTGTCAAACTACCCAAAGCAACCTAAATAATTTTGGGAATTGCTGGCCTCTGCGTGACTGGCTTTTCACATTAAACAGCTCTATTGGTGATGGCAGACAGGAGATGGTTTTTTACCTGTAGCAATAGGAATTAGCTGCATTATTTTCCATCCTCTAAGGACTTACTAGGTCAGCCACAACAAGCACTTTGTTTTCAAAGGTTTGTCCCAGGCATGGAAATAGAAACACTCCAGACTTTGCCTTTGTTCCCTTCAAATGGTTGTTTGCTCAGAGATTTTGTTCTGAATCAGGGAAGATATTTGAACTAATAATGGCACTTTGGGCTGATATGCAGATACATGTATTTTATATATAAAATACATACACAAAAATTTATATATATATATAATTTTATACACATATATAAAATACATGCACAAAGTATGTATTCCAGACACAGGAAACAGGAGTTCTGTGGGGAGCAGAGCCGGGTGCCCTCGTGGCATCCACTGGAGCAGCTCCCATGGAGCTCTGTGGCTCTTGGTGCCCAGTGTGCTGGGCAGGGGCTTGAACTGTGTCCACCAGTGTCAAGTGATCCCACTGGTGCCAGGTCAGAGCCCAGAAGTCTCATGCTGGTCCATTTTTTGTTGTCCTGGGCCCCGTGCATGATGTTCAGCTGCAGTGCTGGCTCTTACTGGGAGGACTGGAAGCACCTGTGTAGTTTGCTGGAGAAGCAAATGAATTCTTTAACTGGGTCTTAGTGAAAATGAGTCTGAGCCATTGAGCAGGGTGAAAAGACCAAATTCATTAATCTTGGTAAGAGGAGTGAGGGCCCACGCTGTGCTGCCTGCCCATGGCACCCGCTGCTATTCTCCTCTCCTACATAGTGCCGACCGCGAGCCAGCGCAGCCAGGGAATATTTACTCTTCCTGCGCTTTCCCTGCGCTGAACCTTGGCTACCAATTACCCTGTATTAAATTGTGTTTGGTCATGGCAGTGATTATACGGTATCCAGGCAACCTGGGCATAATCTAATTTAACACACAACATGGATTTACTCCGCTCCTGTTCTCCTTTGTTTTGCTGAAAGTGAGTGTAAAGTGAGCGGCGTCCACAGACACCCTGGGGAATGACCTGCTGGGATGGAGTTCCCACAGGAGCGCTGGGCTCCTGGCCCGGGGTGTCCCGGGCTCGGTCTCAGTGCCATTGGCTGGGTGCTGGCAGCATCCAGCACAGCTCCTGGGTCAGCACCAAGTGGGTCAGGCCTTCATGGAGCTGTGCGTTGGTGAGGCACTGCTGAGCACAGGTATTCCCATGGCCAAGGACTGTCCCACACTGCCAGGCTGATCTCCCACTGATCCTGGAGGGAGGCATGTGGGAAGCATCATGTGTTGAGAGGAGGAGGCACAGCCCAGAGTCCAAAAGCCAGTGGTAGTTTGGCCTGTTGGGAGCCCCAAGCAGGAATGAAGAGGTTCTGCACATTCCTCCATTAGTTGTTGCTTCTTCCCTGTGCTGGATGTGACTCCTCCAAAGTGGGTATGGAGAGGGAGTGGGAAAAGGACCCATCAAAGTTAATGTTAGTGCAGTTCTTTCAAAGTGCACTGAGGACCGGAAAGAAACAGCAGGTTAAAAGGAAAATACAGTGAATGCTTGGAAACCTTCTAAAGGGCAGCTCAGGAATGGCACTGCCAGTCCCTGCTGAACAGCTCCGGCATTAAGCTCACTTTGGGCTGAGAACACCCCATCTTTAGAAACTGTGGCATTATTTCCTAGTACAAAAGATGATGAAGAGGTATAATTTAGAGTAAATTATCCTGTGGGTAATGGTTGTGGAATTTGAAGGATGTGAAAGGTGAATCATGTTTTGGAGCACAGCTGTGGTGACCCAGTGTGGGGAAGGCTATTGCTGGAAAAGTACCCAGGATGCAGATCAGTTCATGTGCCACTAAGGTTTATTCCAGAAAGGAGCCAGATTGCATAGCTGCAGAATGGCTCCCACACTTCCAGAGGCAAAATAAAACACAGTGGAGTTTGGTGATGGAGGCAAGGGGCCACCCGTGTGGACATTGCTAGGGCAGGTCCGTGGCTGGTGCTGCAGGATCATGTCCTGCCTGGGAAGCCATTAATAGCTCAGTCTGAAATAATTACCAGGGCCACGCACAGCTGCCTCACCGTAATGAGCTGGTGACAGTGCAATTTATTAGAGTGATGTAGGACATGGTAACGGTAATGAGAAATGGAGGGACCTAATTTTGTATGACTTAGATCAATTAGATTGTTTTTTTTTAATAAATGAACATTGTTTTACTAACCGCAGAAGATCACTAAAATTATTATTTTATTAGTACTTTTCAAAGCCATTTGAATTGCAGCTGTGTTTTTCCAAATCGAGTTAGGAGCATGTGAATGTGTGTTTGAAATGTAGATGTTGCAATGCGAAAATGTCTTTGGGGTTTGTAAGTGTCTTGGTGAGGAGATGGGTGGGAGTGAGGGGAAGGTTTGAATCCTTGTAGAAGTATTTTATAGCATATAATGTTTCTTACTGGACTTCTGCCTTTCTCACTGTTGCATGGGGTTGTGACTCCCTAAGGAAAGTTTGCTCCCCCTCTCCCGGCCCTGCGGGTCACAGTGGGTGGTGCCAGTGTTGCGGTGCACAGCTTGGTGTGCTCTTGGCTGTGGTGAGGATGGGGATGGGGATGCGGAGAGGCTCTGTGCCCATCTGGGGATGGGAATGTCCAGCCTGGATGGGATGACAGCAGCCCTGTGGGCAGCACATCATCTCAGCACTGGCAAAGTTGTCATCTCTGTGCTGGAGCCCGTTTCCAGGGCAGCCCATCTCCCACAGCGTTTACTGACACTGGAGATTTCCCGCACGTTTGTGATAAAATATTCAGAGCTTCCTGACAGTGGGGGGAGTTACGGGTAAGAGGGAGGTTCCACCAGCTCCTGAGGGGCTTTGGCCAGGACCTCCCACCTTTAAGCGCAGACTCGGTGGAGGTGACAGCTCTGCCTGTTCTCCAGGGATGTAACATGCACCGAAATGAGGCTTCTTGCCTGGGCAGTAAGTAGGGCTGATGCTGCTGTTGGGAGAAGCTAGACCAGCAGCACTGAGAGCCCTGCTCTGTGCTGAGGTCCCCATCTGCTGCCTGAGGAGCTGTATATAGAGATGAGGAATGAGTTCTTTCTGGTTCAAGTGAGATTTGGATGGAAAAGGATGGAAAGCATCTTTTCTTTTAAGCGAGCCTGTGCTTACAGTGTGCTGAAATACACTGAGTATGCCCACAAATATCTTGGCCCCAAGATCAATAGTAAAAGCTCGTGGCAATGAATTTTTGGGGCAGTCCAGCCTCACTCTGTGCTCCTCCACTGCATTTATCCATGGAAACAGGAGAGAAAGAGTGAAGGGAAAAGACACTAAAACCCCCTTAGGCTAAAACCGTGTGAGCACACAGCCTGAAGCTGCCGTGTTTCCTGGTTGAAGAGGTCAGGAGAAAACCACAAGAAAGACTCGGGGAGACGGGGCTGCAGGGCTGCGCCGCAGGTCCCGGCTGCGCCGCCCGCACGCGTGTCCCCGTGTGACTCAGCAGATTCCATGGTACCCAGCAAGTTCTGTCCATGCCACAACCAGGCTTGTGCCATGGAGCAGCCGAGCACCTGGTCCCTGGCATCCATGGTCTGACATGGATGGGGGCTGCTGGGCTGCCTCCTGCATGCAGTGTGTCCTCAGTGCACGGTATCCTCGGGGTGAGACAGAGCACAGGACGTACCCCATTGGGGCTGATGGGGATTTGCATCACTAAGACCAGGGACCAACTGGAGCTGCTCAAACACACTGTGGCACGTCCTCAGCGTGAGCTGCTTCACTTCTCTGAACTGGTCTGTGCCCTCGTGAACAAAAAAGAGATGGAGGTGGCAGGGAGGAAGCTCGAATATTGGTGGGTCCCTGGGTGAGTGGGTGCTCATCTCAGGCGGGTTCCTCAGCAGGATGGAGAAGGGCAGACGTGGGCCATGGGGATCTGGAGGTAAAGACCCATCATCACCTCCCAGCCAGTCTGGATGACCTGGATGGGGCTGACCTCTGGTGCAGCCCAGCACTGGAATGGCTGAGAAGGAATTGGCCTTTGGAACATATGAGGTCACTCATTGAGTTGGAGAGCAGCGTGTGTCAGAGGTCCAACAATTTGTTTTCAGAAGGGTTTTAAGCATTAATGATTCAAGATGTTTTCCTGGGAGTGGTTTGCAGCATGAGGCTCGGTGGCCGGTGCGGGGTTGGGGTTTTGTGGGATTAGTCAATTCATGGAGGCTGAAAGGTCTCCAGGAACACAACAGTTAAATTTGTACTTTTCCACATGGCTGAGCCTTCAAGGAGCTCACCAGGAGCGTAAAAAATGTAAACAGGGTTGTAAGCTTTGTGCCAGCCACGAGTCAGGGAGAGCAGAGAGGGGGTTCCCTGCGGATTAGTTCCATCACCTACTTCATTTTCTTTCTCTTTTTGTTTTTTCCCAGAGTTGCAGATAATCACAAGCAGAACCTGATGACTGTTGCTAATCTGGGTGTGGTGTTTGGGCCGACGCTGCTTCGACCTCAAGAGGAAACAGTCGCTGCCATTATGGACATCAAATTCCAGAACATCGTGATTGAAATTTTAATAGAAAACCATGAGAAGGTAATGGCTTCCCTGGCTTCTTTCAGTGTCAATTATTTATGGGAAGGAATTGGTCTCTCTTTCCCAATGGGAGCCCCCTCTCCCAGGGCCCCCCTCATTCCCTGTAACCAGCAGCACTGGCAGCTTTGCTGCAGGTGGGGGGGCTGTGCCAGGGAAGGGACAGCTGGCACCTCCCTGGCACTGTCACCAGTGAGGGACACAGCTCAGGAGAGGACACAGAGGTGCCAAAATTGCCTGTTCCTGGGCTGCAGTTGGGTAACCAAGCTGTTCCTGGCATCCCAGTATGAGTCAGCATGTCTCTGTCTCCATCACAGAAATCCCCTTTCTCCCCCTTTTCCACTGTTTAGTAGGAATTTGTCCTTGGTTTCAAGAGAGATGAGCACTAAAGGAAGCTAGTGCACAATGTACACCTTGGCTGGCTCCTGCTTTGCTGACTAAATCTGGGTTTATCAAGTACTGACTTTATCCATAGCACTGATCTCCTGAATCCTGATGCATTTGTGTTTGTTGGCCATGAGGATGTCGTTTGTCAGTGGAGCAGTGGTGGCTTGGTGGGGCCATCGTGCTGGCTGTCCCTCCCAGTTGGCTGCGTGGGGTGACTGCATGTGCTAAAATATACCATTTTCTTCTGAATTCATCCAATTCCATGATTATGCTCTTTTGTTAGTCTGGTTTTGGTTAGAAAGAAGTAACTAATTTGTGCTGCAAAGGTAGAAGTAGAGACCAGCTTGCCCTGACCAGGGTGGTGGTGCAGGGTGGCATCACAGCTGTCACATGGGGCTTTGCTCACAGGCATCTTGGGGGACATCTTGGACAGGTTTGTTGTGTGTTCACATGCAAGGCTGAACCTCTGCTCTGTGTGGTGTGGGCAGCAGTCCTGGGGCACAGCTGCATGGGGCTGCAGTGGGGCCTCAAACGTGCAGCCAGTGGGGTCAGGGAGACAGGATCTCTGATTCTTGGAGATATTGCTTCTGTGGGCACAGAAAGGCTGTGGTATTGGTTTGGGATGGAGGAGCTCAGGCATGTTCTCCTCAGGAAGATCCCTATGCATCAAGGTGTTACAGCCCTTGCATTTGTCTTTAAATTACAGCTGCCATTGGGAACTGCTGCCCTTTGGGCCATCTCCCATGAGTCTGACACCAGATCCTCTGGAAATGTGGAATAACCTTGGGATGGGAGTAGGATTAGGGCTTGGAGAGGAAGGGACGATGGCTCTGTTTGCCTGCCAGGTGTTGCAATGGAGCAAACAGGAGCCTAAGGAAGCTGAGCAGGAGCCACATGCCCTGCTCTGCTGCCCAGCACTTCCTAACGAACCCCAATGCCACTTTCCTTAACAGGATTTATCCATGAGCGATTCTCGGCCTTTCCTCCATGTGCTTGTGACTACAACACATTTATGTATTATAAAAGATATCCTAATTCTCTGTAATGCCTCCTGCGCTGCCCACACCTCTCCCTGCCTCCACAAGAGCAGCTGAAGAGCCTGTGTTGAGGGTGCAGTGCAGGCCATCAGCTTTTTGGGCTGACTGGGGGCTTTAACAGAAATGCAAAGTTATGGTAAGATCTCAGTGCTGAAGGTTTTAGCAAAATAGTTTCATAATGATGTTCCAGCTGCATTTGAAATGAGGCTGCTTTTAGTCACTGAGTTCCTCACTGAAGAGCATTTGTATCTTCTCTTGTTATAAAAGACCAAAAAAAAAACCAAAAACCTGAAACAGAAACCTGGAAGTTTATTTTCAAGTGTGCTGTGGGAATTGTTGTGTAAAATGCAATTCATAAATCAATGCTTTTATCTTGCTTGGTTTATATATTTCATTATATTTCCCAAGGTGAATTTATTACTGAAAAGCAATTTGAAAGCAAGAGCACATTAAAGCAGGCAGTGGCTGTGCTGGGTGTGGGGAGTGGAGCCCAGGGCAGGCAGGGTGCCCTGGGACCGATTTCAGCCCCTGTGCTGAGGATCCTGCCTCCAGGAGCTGTATTTAGCCTGCTGAGCACAGGGCTCATGGTGAGGTCCCAGAGCCAGGGAAGGCACCTGAAGCATGTGCAGCTGTGTGAGCCACGAATAGCCTGGCTAACTGGGACTGTGGGATGTATTGGGCAGGGCTGGTGAGGTGCTAGGGTGGGCTAGTGAGCTGCTGGGGGCTGGGGAGGGCTGGTGGGATGCAGAGAACATGGTGCATCATCCATGAAAGAGGCTGGGGAGACACTGGCCCCCAGACTCCAATGGGGAGACTGGGAACCAGCCATTGCGGAGTGGGAATGGCCGTGGGCAGGCGTGTGGGGTGACAACATTTGGTGCTTCTTGCAGAGAGTGTGACTGGGGCAGCCTCTCTCTCCACTAATCCCTGAGCCCATGAGGAATGTGTGAATGAGCACTGCAGAGCTCCCCAGGAAGGGCTCCATGATCTCTCCATCTGTCCCACTGTGCAGTCAGATCCAAGTGCTCACCGGGCCATTGCCGGGTCCTGCTGCGCACGCAGGAGCTGGACACAGGGATTCAGCTCCAATTCCTGTGCCTCACCCCAGCTGCCGGCTTCAGGGCTGATCCCGAGCCCTGACAGGGAGTCCCCATGGACAGAGAGGCTGGGAGCAATGTCCTCAGAAAGGCCAGGGAGGGATGTCCTTGGCCATGTGGTGCTCGATCCACTGGGAGCGGGTCATCAGCTCCTCTCAAGGGCCGAATGCTGCCCTTCCCACTGCCCCTGTGCACTTTTGGAAGGGATAGGACATTGACATTTTTAGTTGAGGCATCCTGGCACTTTATCAGGGATTTGTAGGAATCATCGTGGAGGGTTGGTGTGTGTGTGTGAAGGTGATGTTGTTGTTTCATGAAACAAACCCGTTAACTGCTGGCAGCGGCTCCGCTCGCTGGTGGCATGTGATGGCCACTGGAGAGGGCTGATGGTGACCGTGATAATGGCTGTTGGTGACCATGGCCATGGCTGTTGGTGGCCACTGTGATGGTTGCCAGTGACTGTGGCAACAGCCATGTGCTCCAGAGGAGCCACTCACTGCGGCGGGCAGTGAGCTGTGCTAAAATGCAGTTTTCCTGTTGGGAACCCCTGTCCGTGCTGGTTGACTGTCTGGCTGGGGCAGGTAGAGCAGGAAAGACACTGAGGGATGGGGTTTAATGAGCTCTAGCAATGAAGCGAGACCTTGAGAGAGCTGGTATGGAGGCTGCTGTTGTCTGAGCCTGGGGATCCAGAAGAGGAACAATAAATAACCAAATATCAACAACCAACAAAACTGCTTCTCTTTGGGTTCATGCAGTTTTAAAATTCCATCCCCTTGAGAAAAATGTGATTACTCAGTTTTCTGACAGCTGTGGCTGGAAGTTGCAAAGACTTTCCCAAGCTGGCCTGCAGGCGTGGGAGCGTGGGCGCCGAGGCTGCTCTGCAGGGGGCACAGGGGGAGTGATGGCTGGTCTGTCTGGGACACTGGCCATCATCTGCACCCCCAAAAATTCAGCAGAGTGCCAGAGTGTCAGGGTTCTTCCCATCCTGCAATGTGCATCTTGGGTGAAAAATAGAGAAGAGGAGTGCAGACAGAGCAGGAATGTAGAATTTAGGAAATTCTACCTAAAATATTGCCCTGTTGAACACATGTCTTCCTTAGACGCTGCGCTGCAGAGTGGTTGTAGAGTGGTGCAGCCCAGGCAGGTGGGCAGCTGTCCTGTTCGAAGGATGATGCCAGAGAACAACTTGTTTATTATTTTTAACAGATATTTAACACGGTGCCAGAGACTCCGGCGTCGAACTCACAGCTGCTGTTATCCCGCAAGAAGAGCATGGACTCGAAGCCTCCCTCCTGCAGCGAGCGGCCGCTGACGCTCTTCCACACGCCCCAGCCCAACGAGAAGCGTAAGTGCCCAGCCGCCCTCTCAGCCCTCCATATTTGCCCTAATCATGCCTAACAGATTGTCATTCCCATGCCATTCCCATGCAGTTCTACTGCTGTCAGTGGAAGAGATGATTCCATAACAGGGTCAGGCTTCAGTTTCCTCCGCTGTTGCATCAGTGGGGAGTTTGAAGCTCTCCTGGCATCTGAGCCCTTAACCAGGGCTCAACACAAGGCTGCTGTAGCATGGGATAAAGTGTTGCTGTCCCTTCCCCACCTGACTGGCCTCTGCGTGTTCCCCTTCTCATGTTCCTCGCCCCCATCATCGCTGTCATCAGCTGCCGGGACGAGAGTGCCACACCTGTGCTGAGGGTGGCCACCCGCCGACATCCCCACAGGGCAACCCTTTTGGGATGCCCTCAGGCACTTTGCCTTTTACAGACAGGAAAACTTGGCCAGGAGGTTTGGCATTTTCCTGAGGATTATGTACCATGGCAGTTTAAAAATGTTGGAGCTCATCTTTCCATTTCTGTCACTAATTGATGCTCCAGATATCTGGGTGAAAGAGCCAAGGCCCCATCCCTGCTCATGGGGTGGCAGAAATGTGTCTGCTCAGGCTGTGGCTTTGCGTTACAGCATAAACCCAATTCCCAGCTCTCTGGTTCATCCAGGCCATGTGTTCCTGGAACCAACTGGGAGCTCTCCCAGTTTGATCAAAAAGCAAGAGAGTGCCCTGGTGAGCAGAACAAGCACACATGGAGCAAGGAGCCGGGGAGGGCTGGAGATAACCCAGCTTCCCAGGGTGGACAGAGTGGTCGCTGTGGACTTTGCTGACTCTCAAAACATGTGGGTTTGTCTGATTGAGTTACTGTTAATTACCAGCCACTGTCATTTCGGAGGGTGTCGAAACAATCCGTGTGAGTTTGAGGAAGCAGCGGTGGCACCAGAGCGTGCTCTGGGAATGGTGTAGCACAGCTGTCGGAGGAGCCTCAAATATCAAAAGTTCCTTTTGAAAAATTCAGTCCTAGTGATTTATTTTCTGCTAACTAAGCAGTTGCTTGTCACACTCCAGGGTCAATGGGCTGCTGGAGCCCTTGTGTGCCATCCTCCCCATGCCTGGAAGAGGAACTGAGCTCATGTGTTTATTTCTGCATTTATTTATTCCCAAATGAAGCAATGTTTTCACAGTTTTCCTCCTGTATCTTTGGGGAAGCCACTACCATTTTATTCAGTGTTTGCCATCCCTGCTGCACATGTCACTTGAGGAATTATGTGAGGTTTCTTTTTTCTTCATTTCTTCTTCCTTTCTTACTCCTTTCTTCTTTGTTTTCTTTCTAACTGGTCCAGAGATGGGCCAAGGCTCAAAGTCAGGTTGAAGCACGAGGGCTTGGGCAGCAACTCAAACACAACTGAGCACCACAGAAATTGAAAGCTGAAAATTGAAGCTAGAAACGTTCAAAAGGGGAACAAGGTGAACATTTTTTAAGACTGAGAATAATTTTACCATAAGAAGTGAAGTGGGACAGTGGATTTTCCATTACTTGAAATTTGTTTATCGAAGTCCAATATCTTTGTAAAATTTTCACTAGAATTCATCATACAAAGCTGTGTGTAAGTCGAAAATTATCATGTTCAACAGACAGGGTAATGCAAGAGAGTGGATTAGATCATTATGTTTAATCTATGATTATAGTGATTATTTTGTTGTTAAACATTCCCATTTTTGCCCACAACTGACCCAGGGGGGTCTCAGAGAGAAGTTGCAGGTTTGGTTTATTAACAGAAGCTCTTGCTCTTCTTCTTCTTTGCAAAGTGGCTCTTCTCCCTTCTGCACTCTGGAAGTGCTCTTTAGCTGAAAGGCAGTTCTGCTCTTGTAGCTGTAAGACCAAATTAAACCTCCCAGCAAAGAATCCTTCACATAAGCATTTAAAAACATGAAGCAAAACACAGTTTCAGCCTTTTAAAAAGGAGGAAATAAAATAAAGCAGGAGTTTCAGATTCTGCCATTCATCTCCCTTCCCCTTTAGCTGAAACACTTCCAGTTCTGTGGCTGACGGGGACTCTAATTTGATATTGGCTGGTGGCTTGTGTGGAGATTAGGCAGACAATCCACACTGATCTGTCAGGCTTATGGAGCTTATTCCTGGACTTCAGTCTTGGGTAGAAAATGTTTGGAAATAATAAGCTGTAGTGTTAGTCCACACTCCAGGGACTCAGGTCGGCCCTGGGTCCAGCCAGGCTCAGCGTGAGCAATCCCTGAGCTTGGTCATCTGTGTTTAGGTGGTCTGTCACAGGCTGTCCAAAACCTGCTCTAGCAGACACAAAAATAGAGGGATTTGGGGTTTTTAGGTCCTTAGGCAGCTTAATTTCTCTCTCATTTCATCTGCTGGCTCCCATGTCTGCATGTCGATACTTGTGGAGCTCAGTGTTCTGCTTTTCTTTACTTTTCCATCTTTGTCTTCTGCATGGATAATCTTTTTCATCACAACGTGCTGATGCCCTCTGAACCCAGAGGTTTCAACTTTCACAGAGTTGGGAACAGAGAGGTGTCTGTGCTGCTTGTCCCCATGGTGACTCATTGCAGATCAAGATCAGGGAAACCCAATTTCAGGAACATGTTGATGCGTATCAACATAATTAACACATCCTTGGCCTTGGCTCATCTCTGGCAGATAAGCTCAACCTCAGATAAACCAAGGTTTAGCCCTGTCCTGCTGCCATGTAGGTGCTGATTTTGTCCAGGTATCTGGGAAATGCAGCAGCTCCAGCAAAGGAGCAGGACAAGGAGTATCGGACCCTGCTCTGGACATCCACAAACCTGTGGCTGATGTGGTTTTTCCCTTTAGAGCAGTGGCAGAGCTTCCCCAACACTCTGAGACAACACTCCTGCCAGGCTGTTTTACAGGCAGTTCCTTTCTGCTGTGTGCTCAGGATTAACTTTTCACATATCCCAGGAGTTCCTCTTGCACTCTTATCCCTCTTTAAATGTGCGCAGGATACGGATGCATATTGCACGTTCTCCTTGCACAAGCAGAGATAGCAATTAAGGGAGATTGAGAATGAGGATTTCCATATTTCTTTGTGCTTTTTGGTTGTAGTTGGACCATATTATTGTGCACTGGAAAAATAATTTTGGAAAGATATGTCCTTGAAGTAGGACTCTCTGTGTTTTCCAGCAGGTGCCTGTCTTTCAGGAAGGCATCATCCCAGAAGCAGCAGTTCTCTGCCTGGGGCTGCTGTCGTGCCATCAGTGTTGCTAATTGCTTCTCACAATTACAATTACTGCTCATATGGAAAAAGCTTCTCCTGGAAATGAGTTAATGGGATTTTAGGGGATCTGGGGCAGAGATGAGGAGGGGCCCATGCTGTGGTGTCAGCTTGAGATGCACAATATTGTCAGTGCTCACTGCTGAAGTTACACAAATAATGAGAAAATCTCTTAATGTGATTGAGAGAAACAGGAATCTCTGAGAAGCTCTGGACTGTCAGCAGAGCACTGATCCCAGCACCAGGGGATGCCCAACACATCCCATTCCTTTCCAGATCCAAAGCCGGGTCTTTGTCCCACCATGGCTCTGCATTTTGAAAGAGCTGAGCTGAAAAGGAGCAGAGACTCCATTCCCTTTCCCCTTTAGACCTGGACAGGAACGAGCAACAGTAGTGATGTCAAGTATGAGACTGAAGCATTTTTTGCTGAGATAAACTTAAGTCCTTAGGCAGCTTAGGGGTGATCTGTCCTGTTCTTGATCTAAACTGTTGTCTTGCTCTGTTGTCCAAACACTCCATCCCTTGGGAGCTGATTTCAGTAACACAAATCCATCCCTGTGCATAGTTTGCATTTTAATTTCTTTCAGGTTGGGGCATTTTAGATGCCTTTGGGAATACAAAATATTAATGCATTGAGAAAAGTGCATATTTGCTTGCTAAAAATGGTGCTTATTTAAATGTACCTGCATCTTAAAACCAAAAGAACCAAAGAGTACCTGGTATTTTTTGTGGTTTAATGTATAATATCTCTGTAACTAACTCTGAGCTCTGGGGAGATGCTCCCAGTTTGCACTGGGGCAGGGTTTGCTGGGAACACTCGATGCCTTTGCAGTCATTTGCTCTTTACTTTGCCTTCAGTGGCAGATGATGGTTCTTGGATTTTGGTGTTTTTTAGAGGAGAACAGGAACAGTATCATCAACTCCAGCCTGGAATCCGTCATCTCTTCAAATGTAAACAGCTTCCTCAACTCCAACAGCGCTCCCCAGCCCAGCCTGAACTCAAGTGATCTTGAACTAGAAGTAATTAAACCCAACAGGCCAAATTCCCTGTAAGTACAGTGGTAATTAGTGTTTTATAGACTCTCCATCCTTAATCTTTAATCAGGGTTGTTACTTACTCAATCCCAGCAGTTTGCTGAAGAATACAATTTAACATTTTAATTTTTAATGGGCACCAAGCATGTGCCCTGCATTTTTAACTTGGTCTAAATGGTGGAATTAGTTACTGTGGGTTACATCTGCCAGTGAGTTCCAGCTCTGGGGGTTTTGCCCATGTGGAATATTTTTGAGCAGAACTTCCAGGGCTGCCCAGCCCATCTGGTGATAACTCCAACACACACAAAGGACTTTTCTTCTGAGTTCAATTCTCTGACTGTTGTCAGTACAGTTGATCTCCGGCCAAATCTGTGCTGTTGCTTCTGCTATTGCTTCCTTCATCTGGAAAGTTCAAGGGAAAAAACAGCGACCTTAGCAATGCCTCCCTGGGGATGGCCGAGTTATTTACGAAGTCCCTGAACTCGCCACAGCAGAGCCCTCGCGCGATGGCGGCTCCGCTGGGGGAATTTCCTTCCTGCCGCGGCTTGGCCGGGCCCGATAGCATTTTCCCACAGAACCTCCCCTCCTTGTCATGTGAAGATCTGCTCAGATCTTCAGGAGCTGAACCCAATTTCCCCCTGGTGCTCCTCGGCACGCCCCTGCGCATCCCTGTGGATCGGCCGGCGGGAATGCTGCTCCCACCATGGCAGCTCATGGCCTCGCTGCACGCAGCGACCTTCTCAGTTCAGGGAGACCTTCCTTCCCACCCCTCCAGTCCTCCCACAGGCCTCAAACACTTCCAGTTCCTGTTCATCCATAGCAGCCCCCATCCCCTGAGAGCAGACAGGGACATTCCTGATTTAGCTGGATGCTGGTTGAGGGCTCGGCCAAGTGCCAGGGCAGGTGCTGCAGAGATGGTGAATCTCGTCGTTGTTGGCTTGGCTGGCACCAGGGTTGGGTTTGGAGGTCTGGGGTCCAGCCCTCACTCCAGCAGGTGGGATGCCTACGGGCCCTGCCCATCTGGGTACTCCCAACGGGAAGGTAAGTGTGGAGCAGCCAAGACAGGCTTCATCCAGCTTCATCATCTGCTCTGCCTCCCTCCTCATCATCGCTGCCACTAAACCCTCAGCTGCATGAGCACCACACCGACCTCTCCTCAGCACTCCTGGGAGCAGGACTGTGAGGCCCAGCCCCACGCCATGCCTGCTCCCTGTGGATTTTCCCACTGCGGGTGAGCTGCCTGGCAGAAGTGCTGTGGGGGCAGGATAGAGCATCCAAAGGTAGGACACTTCCAAATCAAGATCGTGCTTTACATGTGTTATATGCAGAGTAAAGATGCATCTCTGTCTCATACCTGCTTGAAGCTCTGGAGTGAGTCACGTCCCATTCCCCCAGTAGGATGGTTTTAATTTATTTATCCTTTAAGGGGAAAAAAATGATGTGGCTTATCATAGAGCAAGGTTTGTGAGCCCAGGTCTTGCTGGGACCTGACAGGGATTGTTTGCCACATTCACAGTTTTTCAGATTTCAAGAGTTGCCTCTTCCTAATAATTTCTTTCTTAACATAAGTTATAAAGAAATTCAGCAGAATAAATCAGTTAAAGCTGTGTGACACTTTGGAGAGCGGAAGCACCATGCTGTTCCCAAGGGATTAGGTGAGCAGCCTGGCACTGAACCAGGTGCATGTGCCAGTTCAGGGGCCTCTAGGTCTGCAAAGTAAAACAGGGCCAAGCAGGGCAGCACTGGCAGCTTGTGGCTCTGACAGTGCTTGTGACATTCAGTGCTTTTCCTCAAATCCAGTGATTATGGGATGATTTGTGCACATGCAGGAACACATGAGTTTTTGGTCCATGTTGAGCTGAAGTTTGAAAAGTAAGTGTTAAAGTGAATAGTACCACAAGGCAGATATTCTCTATGACCCCAAATATTTAAATCAAATGCCTTTAATCCAATCTTCCAATGAGGCATCTGACTTAATTGTATTGTGATTAAACTGTGTGTACAGACGTCACTCACCCCTCTGTGCCTGCTTGCCCAGGAGCAAAGGCTGTGCCTGTGGTTTTGACAGCTCCGTGGGGTTCTGCCCTCCATGGGCAGTGCTTGTGCGGGGGTGGCTTTGCAGTGGTGAGGATGAGGAGAGTGAGCAGGGCTGCCAGCAGTGGGTCTGTCCCCACCCCTGCCCTGTGGCTGTGGGCTGGGTCGGGGCAGGGTGTCTGAATGGTGCCAGTGTCCGGTGGCTCCGTCCCCGCTGCTCCGCGGGGCTGCCCAAATAATGTCTGTATAAAGCTGCTTCTGTTTTTCCAAGCAGCTGAGTAATCTGGGCTTTGCAGGAAGCCTCGGGCAGCCACACGCTCTGCCGCAGGCTGTGGCATCTGGTGCTGCCATGTGAGGGTTTCTGGCGCTCCCCTGGAATTACCAGGCCCACAATTAGGGACTGTGGCCATGGGGAGGGTCTTGGGGTGCCTTGGCCTTTCAGCTCCTTCAAACACTCTGCCACATTCTCTGCTGGTCCTGGGAGACTCATCTCTGGGCTCTGCTTCAGGACTTTGGGTTTTTTCTTGCACTCTTCAGTATTTTCTGTAATTTTTTAGCTGTGGACCAGGGCCATCGTGTTGAGGCCCCGTTCAGGAGGGGTTGGCTCTCCTGGCAGCCCCCACGAGCTGACTGGCCGCTGAGCTGGGAGCCTGCACTCACCCAAACTGGGGAACTGCAGGGAAAGGAGTTGGGTCATTTTGGTGTTCTTACTTCTTTCCAAGTTGAAAACCGATGTTCTTGTGGAAATAACTCCTGCGGGTCTTAGTGGGAGGCTCCTTGGAGCACAGACGTTGAGGCCTGCAGGTCTGGAGGATTTCTTGTGCAGGGAGCACCGATGTGCCCAAGGTGGCCTTTAAATGTGCAATGCTGTAAATTGTGAGCACCATCTGTGAAATGAGAGATGTTTGTTTGAGCTTCTGTTTACAAAAGCCTCTTGGCTCCCTGCTAAATGCTCATGTATCCCCCAGGTCTGCTCCACCGGGAGCTGCGCCAGTTCCTAAATCCCCCTCGTGAGTGTGTGTCGCTTCTTCCCTGGTCTCTGGGCACGATGGTGTTACAGCAGTGGCTGTGCTGGGGATGAGGTCTCCCTGCCTCAGTGTTGGTACCCTTGTCCCCCTCCCCAGGGGAATGGGGTCCTTCTGACATGCCTTCTCTGGAGCACAGTCCTCCTTCACCAATCCAGAGGGAAATGGTTTTGCTGCAGGGCGCAGGCTCTTCCTTCCCAGCCACCAATCGGGCTTTTACGATGGGAATGCATTTATTTATTAGGGCTGGGTTTATTTTTATGGAAAAACTGCTCTGGGCAGGAGTTGTACTGGGTGAGTCAGCGGGACTGTCCTGTGCCAGGAGCTGTCACTGGGCTGTGGGTGCCTGGAGACCGCAGCTGGTTCCCGGGGCCACCAAACCCCAGGGAGGCATTTGTGTCCAAAGCAGCAGTGTTGGGTTTCTGTATCCCACTGGGTTTCTGTGTCCCGTCAGGTTTCTTTATCCCATCAGATTTCTTTATCCTGCCTGTGTAGAAAACATGGCAAAACCCAAAGGAGAAAGCACCGTGTAGCATAGACACATACTTCAGCTGAAGTGGAGGAAGTTTTCAAACTAAAATACATGATCATGAAAATCGAAATATTTAAGACTGTGGGTTTTAAACCTTTTAAGAGAAGCACAGTGCTGTGGCGGCTCTGCCTGGGCAGCCTGTGGTGTGGAGGTATTGCTGTAGATAACCAACACCTTGATTGGAGTTTGCTTGTGTTTTTTCTCCTCTGTTTTATTTGTCCATTGGTCTCATCTGTGTCCCCTGTATTGTTCAAAGCCTTCCCTGTGTGAGGGCCCTGCTGTGCTGGGGTTATGAGCAGCTGCTTGGCATGCTGAGGGCAGGTCAGAGGTGGGTGCTGCAAACACGAGCAGCAGTAGCCAGGTCGTGTTACACACACAACCTCCTTAAAATCACCTTCTGGTGCTTAAAATAACCTAATGCCTCAGTCTGAATTAGGTGTTGGGCAGTGCTGGATGCTCCTGGCTGGCCTCCTGTCCCGCTGTCTGCAAACTGAGCAACCTATGTGTGCAACCTGGGGAGTAAACAGCAGCCAAAACAGGCTGGAGGGGTCAGTGGAGTCACAGGAATTCAGTGTGCTCTCACAGTCATTTCTGGCTGTGCAGGGCTGGTGAAGGTGGGCTGGGGCCAGCTGAGGGTCAACCAAGAACTCTATGTGCGAACGGTACCCATGGGCTGCTGCCTTGGCTTTTCGGATGGGAGGGAGTGCCAGAGCACATAGGGACGGCTGGGGTGGTGACAGAGCACTCAAGATTCCCAGCTGGCCCGTGGGATGCTTGCTTGGGTCCCAGGATGCCCCATTTCAGGAGTAGTTGTGTACCCCTCTGCCAAGTTGTCATGGGAGAGTGCCAGGATGAGCTGCTCCATCCACCCCTTCTTGCTGCTGCTCCACAGGAGGGGAAACAGCAGTTATTTTATGCCCAGCAAATGGGACTGTAGCAACTTGCAGAGTCTGAAGGGGCTCCAAGGGAGCTGGACAGGGCATGGAGTGACAGGACAAGGGGGAATCACTTTGTACTGCCAGAGAGCAGGGTTAGATGGGATATTGGGAAGAAATTCTTCCCCATGAGGGTGGTAAGGCCTTGTCACAGGTTGCCCAGAGAAGCTGTGGCTGCCTCATCCCTGAAAGTGTTCAAGGCCAAGTTGGACGGGGCTTGGAGCAACCTGGGATAGTGGAAGGTGTCCCTGCCTATGGCAGGGGGTAGAGAAGGAGATACAACACCACCCTAATGTCCCTGCCCATGTTCAGCAGTGTCTCTTGCCCTCCACAGCTCTCAAGGCCCATCAGCATTCCCAGTGGTGGTGTCCATTCTCACCCATGGGCTCAGGGCACTGGGCACAGGGACCAGGCTGAGCCCCTCGTGCTGCCAGCCTGCCCCACCCCAGGCTGTTTGCTGCCCCTCCTTCACCGCAGGGACTTGGCAT